TCTCTCTCTCTCTCTCTCTCTCTCTCTCTCTCTCTCTATTTTTTTTTTTCAGCTGAGACATCCTGCCACCTGTTGGCAGCTCAGCAGCAGCTCAGCTCGGTCCGGGAATCGAATCGCTGTTGCTCAGAGCTCGCACTCTTGAGTGAGCTCTAAATCAACTGAGCCACTGGGCTGGTCCCTCCTATGCTGTCTCTTGAGTCATACTTCTCCAGTCTGAATGGGCTGCTCTTTTCTCTCTTGTACATAGCTGTCCCTGGTGTTTCTCATCACCATCATCCTGGGGATTTGCTTTGCCTGTTTCCTGTGATGTTTCTCTTGCTTCCTTTGTCCTAGCTTTTCCTTGTGTTTTGATAGAGTGCTCCTTCTGAGAAATGGTACATGAGATGTAATCTTTTGCAGATATTACATGACTGAAAAAGGTCTTTATTATACCCTCACATTTGGTTGTTAGTTTGGTTGGGTATAGAATTTTAGGCTTGAAATTACTTGCCTTCGTTTTGCAGTCATTACTGCATTGCCTTCTAGCTTCCAATGTTGGTACTGAGGAGTCCAAAGCCATTCTGATTTTTGATCCTTTGTATGACATTTCCTCTCTCTCACCCTTTGTAGAATTAAGCTAGTAGAATCTTTTTTCTTCTTTCTCTTTCCTTTCCCTCTCCCTCTCTCTCTCCTTCTCCCTCTCCCCCTCCCTTTCTTCCTCCCTCCCTTTCTCCCTCTCTCTCTGCCTGTCTTTAAGGTTCTGAGATTCAGAGAGATGTATCTTGTCGTGGGTCGATTATCATCCATTGTTCTGGGACCATACTTTAAAAAAATTAGATTTGTGTGTCATAATCTAGAGTGCATTCCGGAGCATCCTTCAGGTGGAATAATCTACCTGATCTTTTCTCAGATAGAGTATACTGGAGAACAGCATAGCTTTTACTTATAATTGATACCTCTAGTCAGATTATCTGACTTCATTTTAGTTACCATTCCCTGTGTAATATCTACTGTGAATAACCCAGATTTCCAGATACTCTCACTAAAAGTATTGGGTTGTCGGAAAAGTCGTGACGTATTTTTTCTATGTTTTTCGTTGCAAAAATGCGTCATGACTTTTCCAACAGCCCAATATATAGATATGAAAT